TATGTTAAGACTGTCGGGGAGGTAGGCTAGTGCTATCATAAACATCCTCAAGACAGTGAGCAAACTACCGCATGTGTTCCATGCCACACACTCTGAACTCCAGTATAACCTGTGATCCTTTCTGGCCCTTGTCTGTCGCTCCTCCTTCCTAGTAAGTGAGGCTCTAAATGGTCCTCCAGGGGGAAAAAAGGTCAGTGCCCTACAGGTAGACCTCAGCAAGGAGCCCACCTGCTTGTGACCGGGAAATGGAATTGACCAAATTATGTTGTGTGCCTTTATGACTATGTCACATCATATCCCACTGCTATGTATAATTAAAACGCACCAATTAAAAAATATTTTTAAAAATCAAACAAAAAAAAATCTTCCTCCTTCAGGATCAAGGGAGGCCTGAAAAGATTGCTTGGGCGCCATCTACTGGTCAAATGCTTGTACTGCCACGTGATCCTGTGCTGTGACTGAGCCATGAGTCACCCACGTGCTCAGTTGTCTTTAACACCGAAAGCACCTCAATGCCCAGCTCCAGGCAGACATTCAACAAATAGTGAAATGAATAACATCTTCCTATGAATTCTCATACTTAGGCAGTGCCCGTAAGAACCTCATAACCTTATCACACTGATGTCTTCTTGGTGTCGACCTTCTTAGGTTTCCATGGATGGATTATACATTCCTTGAGGGTTCATTGTTTTACTTGGTGACCATCCCAGTGCTTCAGAGGAAATGTTCCAGAAGCACTGTGACTGTGGCTTTTTATCTCCCATCTCTACCTTATTTGCTTTTTATTTTTTTTTTTAGATAGAGTGAGAGAGGAGAGAGAGAGAGAGAGAGAGAGAATTTTTAATATTTATTTTTTAGTTCTCGGCAGACACAACATGTTTGTTGGTATGTGGTGCTGAGGATCGAACCCGGGCTGCACGCATGCCAGGCGAGCGCGCTACCGCTTGAGCCACATCCCCAGCCCTACCTTAGCCTTAACCTTAACATCCTATCCAAGAATTTCTGGGTAGCATTCAGGAGTGTATATGTATATTCACGTCCAAGAAACTGATTTTAGTACAGAAGGCTGACTTCCTTTATTAGCAACACTTTTTCTTTTTTTCATTTTACCACATGAGACTAATTAATAACACTGAATTAGAGCTTTCTATTAAATCTGAGCTCTCCTGGCTTATAAAAATGAATTGAGAGAAACAGAAGACATTTTGGAATGGGTATGATTTTTCAGGGCAAGAATGACATGGGTTGATTCTTGTCACTGATGTCTGGAAAGAAGTGCTATAAGAAGAGTACAAAGGAAAGTCAATGTTATTATGACATAATTTTCTTTAAATTAAAAAGTAGGTACTAGTTCTTTGTTATTTTTTATATTGAGACAAGATCCTAGTAAGTTGACTAGCCTGGAATTTGTCATCTTCCTGCCTCTGCCTCCCAGATTGTTGAGATATACCCGGATAATTTAGTATTTTGTTAAAAATTAGTTGATGGGGCTGAGGTTGTGGCTCAGTGGTGGAATGCTTGCCTAGCCATGTGTGAGGCTCTAGCTTTGATTCTCAGCACCACATATAAATAAAATAAGTAAGTAATTAAAGGTCCATCAACAACTAAGAAAAAAAATAGTTGATTTAAAAAAATAGTTAAAATTTTGAGAAACAGAAAAATTTGTAATGTATTTTTGAATTTCCTGGAGAATAGACTCACGTATTCTTATTCTAGATTTGATGTCATTTTCTGTTGTCACTAATTTTCATTGGTAAAGCTACTATGATATATGACCATTAATAATGTGTGATTTTAGGGTTTATTTGGAGTGTCACTTAAATACACGTGTATTTGATGCATCTAGCTTTTAAATGTGAGAAATAAATTTGTACATTCAGACAGTGTGACACTGTTTTCAAAGTACATAAGTTTTTGATCAGTGTAATTATGTCTTAGCACCACAGAGATCTTCAGATTGGTCCAAAAAGAAGAAGGAGCCCCTAGGGAAATTGGCTTCTTTATTTAAACTTATTGTGAAAGTGATCTATTCTTTCCACACTCTGAGCTTCAAAGAAGTATATTCTGATACTCTACTTGCTATTGGCACCTCGATCACCAACATGCTTTCCAATGTTTTTGGACATATTTCTCTGCCATCTATGATCCGAGAAATATTTGCAACTTTAACAAGACCCCTGGCATTATTTTATGAAAACTCAAAGTAAGTATTTTGTGCTTAGTTGTTGAATTAAATTTGTGCAGTTAAAATATATGTAGCAACTTTTGTTTTTTTTACCAGTTTTGTTGTTATGGATGGTAATCTTTACAATTTACACAGGGTAATATATTAAAATATTTTGTTAAAAAGATATCTCAAATAGTATAGAACTTTGAGGTAGAATTGAAGTGCTCAAGAACCTGAAAAATTTCCCAATAACATACTTATAAAAACACTTTGAAAGAATTTCTTAATAATCTTGTAGCAAGCTTGTGTTGTTCGGTGGTAATAGTTTGTCTTTTATAAATTTATGGAGGAAAAAAATAGGTAACAGATTTTATGAAGTGCACAGTCCAAACATTAAATTCATGAACTTACTACCTCTTCAAATTATTTGAGTCTTTGCTGTATTAAAAATAGTTTGTTTTAAAAATATACAGAAACAGGAAGCTAGTACAAACACTTTGAGGTCTACTTTTTAAAGATGAGGTTTTCCTTGTTAAGACTAAGGAACAGTGTTTTATGTCATTACATGTACATATTTGTTTTTATCACTATGGTAACCTCATTTTCAGGTTTAAACTGATAGATAACATAGTGTCATATTTCTAAAATATAAATGGTCCTCTCTTATGTGTTTTTCCGTTCTAGGCTTGATGAAGTTCCAAAAGTGTACAGTAGTCTGAACAACAAGGTAACAATAAAAAATTGTTCATAAAACATAAATGTTCATAATGAGAAAATAGAGTTTAGATGTTTGTCTACATTATATATAATTTTGCATATTTTTAATGGACATTTAATATTATGAAATAATATGACACATTCATAAGTAGATTTTCTTTTTTAAAAGATGGGGTTAATAAGCTAGCTTAAAATCATAGAATTCGTGATGTCATCTCTTTATATATGTGCTCAGTTGGCCTAAAATTCTGTAGGTGAAGAATATTTTGACAATTATTAATTCTTGTTAAATTGATATAAACACATTGTTTTCCCCTGTCAATGGGAAATACACTCAAAATCAAGTTGGTTTATTGATAAAATTGCCAGATATTTTGTCAGCATATAAAGAGATTTACAGTGACCAGGGGCCTTGTTTAAAATTATTGAAATTTTAAAAAATTGAAATAGCAACATGTTTTGCAAGTTAATATTTAGAATGCTTTTTGCTCTTATTTTTTTCCTTTTTCCTAGTTAGAAAAGCTCTTAGGAGAAATTACTACTTGTCTACAGTATAGCTACACTGGAATTTATGACAGTGAACTTCTTGAACAGCTTTCTCCACTGCTCTGTATAATATTTTTGCACAAGAATAAACAGATTCGAAAACAAAGTGCTCAGTTCTGGAATGCCACATTTGCTAAAGTGACGATGTTGACTTACCCTGAGGAATTAAAGTATGCAATAACACATTTTTATTCCTTATATATTTTGTTATGATAATATGAATGGGGTTTTTGGTATTAAGATAATCTTAATATGGGGAATCATTGCATAAGATTTTATACTTATTATTTGGATTGCTTGGTAATTACTAAACATTCTTTAACATTTTTGTTGGGTCTTACAGTAAATTTGATTTTAGGAACCAATGAAAAGAATTTAAATTATCCTAAAAAAAAAGGGCAAGATAATGATGATTTTTAAAGTTACTTGAGTGCTTAATGTCATATTTTACTTCTGTTTGAATTTATACATGATGAATATTTTGGAAATTTTGACAAAAGGTTTAGAGATGAAAATTTGGAGATTCTTTTGAAAAGTACAGATTTCTCCCACTTTTTTACATGAGTAAATTTGCATATTTTTAATGGACATTTAATATTATGAAATAATATGACACATTCATAAGTAAATTTTCAATCTTTTAAGCTTTTAGCCAATTTTCATTTACTGTTTAAAAATTTAAGTACTTGTAATTAATGTACTCTAGCCTGATGTTGTGGGTCATACCTGCTATTTCAGCTAACAGGTAGGCTAAGTCAGAAGGTATGCAAGTTCAAGGCCAGTCTAGGCAACTTACCAATCCCTTCTCTGTCTCAAAATAAAAACAAAATGGGCTAGGGTTGTGGCTCAGTGGTAGACTACCCCTGAGTTCAGTTCCTAATACTATCAGAGAGAAAGTGTATATGTGTACACACATACACAAGTGTATGTATTTGACAGTGCTTGTTAACATCACCACTGTGCACCAGTACACTTGACTCAATGTATATATATTTGTGTACTTTTTTAAAGACCAGTACTAAGACAAGCCAAACAGACACTTTTACTTCTCTTGCCTGGTTTGGAAAGTGTTGAAATCATGGAGGAATCCAGTGGACCATATTCAGAAGTAGTGAGTTGTTGTTTTTGTCATTTTGTTTTAAAATTTTTGATGTTTAAATGATTTGTTTATCGTAAGTGATAATAAGTAGAACTTGGACAAGAGTTCCCTAACATGATTTTTTTTTTCATATGTAAATATAGAGTTGTGTGGCCTGAAATACTAGTCTAAATTAAGTGCAAAAGTTTTCTCGAAATACGTAAATTATGTTCACCTCATGTACCTTATATGTAGTCTTTACAAGCATCATAACTGTTAAAACACATCAGTGGAATTATTTTGGAAAAAGTAGAAATGAACTTACTAAAGTCTTTATACCTAAGCAAGAACTGTTCTTCTAGATTTCATTTCTTTGTATCACTACTTCTATCAGAAAAAAATAAATCTTTACTATCACATCACCCTTAGGTCCAAGGTCATTTTGACTGATACTTGATTACCATCTAAAGATCTAGGAGTTCAGAGGCTATAGGCATGGATGGATACTGTATTCTTAGGAAGTTGAACATCCTTAGAAAATGTTTTTCTGTTTAGCAACAGATCTTATACAGCTATTGGTTTGTGTGCTTAGAATCAGTAAGGAAAAAAAATCAGTAACTATAGTTACTGATATTTTGCTTTTGGAATAAAAAAAAATTCTCACCAGTAAAGACTTTGTTGCTCAGTGTAATTTAGTCTGCTAAAGCCATACATTCAGGTATAAGAGAAAATGTTCTTCCTGCATTAATATTCTCTAAACTATGTGCTTTATTAATCTTCTTTATTCTTTAATGTTGAAAGTTTTGTGGGCTTTTTTTTTTTCAGTAATGGGTACAGTGTTTGAGTCTAGCAATTTGATTTATATTGCAATATTTATGTGGTATGTCTTATTTTCAAATTTCATGAAATTAAATGGTGTAAAACAGTAATTGTAAAATTTAGACAATCCATTTACTGTCTTTTGACAGTGTTTAAATTTAAAATAAGTTATCATTAGTATGTGATTATTAGATGTGAAAAGAAATGAAAGTAGTAGAGTTATCCTTAATGAAATTGTTTTTATTTTTAATAAAACAGATGGAAAACTCACAATTAAATGTGAAGATAAGTGGTATGGAAAGAAAATCAAGTGGAAAAAGAGATTCCTTTTTGACACAAACAAAGGATAAGAAAGAAAATGTGAAACCATCAGTCAAAGTATGTTTTCAACATTGTATTTAATAGAATTTTTAAAATAAAGCTTATAATAGCTTTTTATTTCAAAACTTCTTATTGTAAGGAAAAGCTATAAATGGCTTAACAAATATGGGATGGTGAGGATTGGTAGAGTTCTTCTACAAAGACTAATAGCATAGTATGAAAATCTGGAAGAGGAAGGTGATGACTCCTTCTCAGTAAGGGTAAATCTGTGTAATGCTTAGCCTCATGATAATACTTGTATGTAATTTATTATATGTAATTTATTCCCAGCAGTAGCCTCCATAAGATAAGCTGACTCTAGGTCCCAGTGACTAAAATAGGTAGTGTAAGAGAACATTTTAGAATTGTTGTTATTATAGAATGTAATTTGGAATAGAGAGAGATTGTAGAACTTAACTTGGAATAGAGAGAGAATGCCTAGCAAAGTTATCTACTTTAATGTCAAATCTTTAAGAAGATCTTTCTAGCTGTCAGTTACTTTTACACTACAGGAATTCTCTTTCATAATCTCCAATCAGTAAGAGTTTTTATAGAATCTTGAGACCATGACCCTGGCAAAATAAAAGACAAACATTATTTTTAAAGACTGAAACATTCTTGTAGATGCTAAAAATAGAATGATACAATGTTATCTTTACAAATTTTCAAAGTTATTAGTATGTAAGACATACTATATTGGCAGCCTTACTTAATTTGACTAGTTCATTGTCACGCTTGGAAGTGATACATATACTCTTCGCCAGTTGATTTTTATATTTGATTTCTATGTTTGCCCGAAAAACACATCTGAATTTTATTTTCTCAGCATTTATTAGAAGTAGAACATTATTACTAATTTGTTATTTTGAATATCATATGGACTGTACATCAGACTTAGAACTTTGAAAAATCTTTATCAGTATTAGAAGGAACTAGAAGTCATTTGAAAATGATGTTGGAACTGAAAATGTACATTTACTTTTTTAAAATCTGCAGCTAAAATTACAATCTTCATCTCCAAAAGTAAAGACTGAAATGCTGTTGGAAGAGGAAAAGTCAGAAGATTTTGTGTTTATTCCTCCAGAAGAAAAAGAAGCAAAGGAAAGAGTATTAACTGAACATCAAAAAGAAGTACTCAAAACAAAACGGTTTGTAGGCCTTTTGTTTTGAATTGGACATTCATTTTGTAAAGTATTTATTCATGTATCTTTAGTTTTAGGTGGACACATTATTTTGTTTTTATATGTTGCTGAGAATCAAACCCAGTGCCTCATGCATGCTAAGGGAGTACTCTACCACTGAGTCACAACCAAAGTCCTGGACATCCATTATTTTTGCTTAGATTTCATGCAGGAAATTACAGATTTGTTGTTGCATAATGTGTTTAGTAAATTGATAGGTTTAATCCCAAACCAACAAAAACAAAGGCCCCACATGCTAGACCAGCCAAGTACCACTGACCCTTTGAATTGTAAGTTTTAATGGGAGAAATTACACTTTACTGTGTTTTATAATATATAAAGTGGCCTAGTAATGTGCCACATATTGCCAAATGGAATTCCTTTGTTGAGGTAGGTTGTATAGGAAGATAAGTTCATGAGAAATCTGGAAAGTAACTATATAGATCTTGATTGTGTAATATTCATAAAAGATAATTTGGTAGATTGCAATTAATTTCTAATTGTAAGAATAATATCAGATTTGTAAAGTTACAAATAAAATATTTTTCAGGTGTGATATTCCTGCCATGTATAATAATCTGGATGTTTCACAAGATACCTTATTTTCTAGTCATTATAGTCAGGAAGAGTCTGTGTAAGTATGAAAGCTTTTGGACTTGTAACAATTTCTTTTATTTTTTTTTAAGTACAATTTAATTTCCATAATTCTTTATTTCAGGGAAACACCTAATTCAAGTGAAAAACCAATGGAAGATTCTGAGATGATAATTAAGGTATATTTACTATTTTATATTTTAAGGTTTTTAGAATCACCTGTTAGGAATAAATTGTTGCAGACTGGGGGCTGCTCTTCATTTTATTAATTTTAAGGTTTATTTTAGAATCATACACTAACAGAATTATAGTCATAATGTGTGTATTTAAATGTGTTTGGCTTTTATTGAATAAAATGAGGAGCACATTAATGGGCATCTTCTATTACTTTTGGAGTATTTGCATTTTGTTGAAAGTTAGTGGTCATCTCTGTATTACTGAAGTTTTGCACTTAAATTTTCCTTGGGAGTGAAACTTGTTTGCAGATTTAATCTGTATATATATTTCTGTACAGGAAAAGCAAATGCAGCATGACAGTGTTATTCCTCAAGATACCAAGGAAAACTGTGGTATGAATGAACATCTTGAAAAGGCTTCTGTTTCAAATAATGGATGTAGTTCTGTTGAGGAAACCAATCCAGAAGTATTAATGACCAGTAGTAATGATGTCAGAAAAATCACCTTAACTTCATCAAAGAAAGCTTCAGCTGAATGTATACCTAATGCAGAAAGTTCATTTGTTGTCAACAGCTCAGTTTCTAATTCCTCTATTTCTGGAACTCCCCCACAGCCTACAAGTCGAAGGCAAACCTTTATTACGTTAGAAAAGTTTGATGGTTCAGAAAATAGACCTTTCAGCCCGTCCCCCTTAAATAGTATATCATCAGTTGTTACAGTGAAAAATAACCAGGAAAACATGACTAAAACAGATACTACTTTAAAAACAAAGAAAAGAGAAGTGACTCGATCAAAATCTGATTCAGAGAAAGTGGTGAATGGAGTTAAGAGATCAAGCCGGAGATCTAGTAAAGCTGAGCAGTCTGGGAATAAAAAGTCTAAGCCCTTAATGAAATCTGAAGAAGAGAAAAATACTCTGGAATCTACCGAAGACATGATAGCCTTAGAAAATAACCCACCTAATTTGCTTAATCAAACAGAATGTGTGCAGAATAATCAGGATCATCTTTCTGAATCTACAGTGGAGTATGAAGACACAAAGCCTAAATCAACAATAGAAAATGATGTAGTGTTGGAAAATAATAGTGTGGAAGAGAAAAATGGAGAGGTTAATTTGGAATCCAAAGAAAATACACCCCCAGTCATAATACCAGCAGATCAAATGATAAATGAAGAGAATCAGGTTCAGATAACTTCAAACCAAAAAACCCTTAGACGATCTTCAAGGCGACGTTCAGAAATAATAGAGTCAACCACTGATAGCCAAGATAAAGAAAATAGTCACCAAAAAAAGGAAAGACGTAAGGAAGAAGAAAAATCTCTTCAAAAGAGTCCATTGCATGTAAAAGATGATGTGTTACCTAGGCAAAAACTGACTTCTGAACATGCAGTACAGGAAAATTTAGTTGAGAAAGGAAATAATTTACATGAGAAAACTTTGGGGGAAACCAGTGCTAATGCTGAAATTGACCAAAATAAAAGAAAACCAGACCTTGAGAATATTAGTTCTGAAGCAGATGGTGCCCAGGACATTGCTGATAAGTCCTCTGAGAAACCTTTAAGGGGACGAACGCGTTATCAAACAAGAAGAGCATCTCAGGGTTTGCTTTTCAGCATTGAGAACTCAGAATCTGATAGTTCTGAGGCAAAAGAAGAAGGATCAAGGAAGAAGAGATCTGGAAAGTGGAAAAACAAAAGTAATGATAGTGTTGACATGGAAGAACAAGAAGAAAAAATGGTACAAGAGTGTATAAAAGTTGAAAATCAGACACCTGAGTCTAAAGCAATTTCTGAAGTAGATATGAAATCTCAGATTTGTGAAACAGGTGAAAGTACTGTGATAGTACCTCAGGAATCTAAAATATCTTCAGATTTGCTGCAAGTTTCTGATGATGTACCAAATACACATGAAGGAAAAAGTAAGACTAGCAAATGCACAGAAAATTCCTTTACATGGCCACCTGTGCCAGAATCAAATCTAAGGACTAGAAATGCCAATAAAAGGTTACATAAGGGAGATTCTGATAGTGTGGGAGAGTGTTCAAAGGTGGGGTCATCAAGCATTGCTCTGCTTTCTGAAAAAAGTGTTCAAATTGTTGAATGCCAGCACAAGAGAAGTAGGAGGGTCAGGCGATCTAAAGGTTGTGACTGCTGTAGGGAAAAATCACAGCCCCAGGAAAATTCATTTATTGGGTTAAGGAACATAGAAAATGATGATGAAAAGAATAGTGAAACAAAAGCAGATGTGCAGACACTTGGAACTGTATCAAAAACTTGTGATGCTAATCTGCATTCTGAAGTAAAAATTTTAGATGAACATCCCAGTGTGAATTTTGATTTGGGTCTCAAGGAGGAGAATGATACTATAAATGATTTAGTAATTGTACCTGCAACTGAATTGAAAGAAAATACTATTGAAAAATCTGTTCCTGAAATAGTAAATTTTAAGGAGGGCACTTGTGATATGGATTCTGGTGTGGCAACATGTCTTGAAAATGAGGAGCCATCTAATATATTAAAAGTTGTGGGCCCATGTGCATGTGATTCCATGGACATTTCACAGAAATGTTCTCCTTTGGACACTAAAAAAAGGAAACAAGAGTTTTCTCCAGAAGAAGTTAACATTGTTAATGTTGAAGGAAATGCATGTAGAGCAACAGTGGGATCAAATCTGGAAGAAGTAGAAGCTATGGAATTGGATATAAAAAGTGATAAATCTGAAACTAGCTTAGAAAAAGATAAATCTGAAGCTAACTTGGTTGAGAAAAAGAGTGCCAAAATAGATATTTCTGAAGAAATGGTAGCAGAGGGAAATACTAAAAGTGGTATACCTGAAGCAGATAAAGTTGAAGAAGTCAATGCTGAAGAATTGAATGCTGAAGCAGCTGCAGCACAGGAATATAACTCAGGTACTGGTCTTTCTGATAATACCACACCTATAAATGTGAATCCTCAGACGGAGATTTCTGAACAAAAAGCAAACGGGAAATTGGGTGGAGGAAGTAATGAATCTGATCTAGGCTCACTTGAAGAAATCAATTCTGAAATTGAAAATTATGAAAAAACAGTGACTGAGCAGGTGAATTCTGAAACTGACAGTGTCGAGGAAACAAAGGACAGGGACAGGACTACTAAAACCTCTAAGCCAGAAGAAGCTCAAACAGAAAGATTGAATGTAGAAACTGACAACTTTATTCCTGACACACTTGAAATGAACACTGAAGAAGGAAAGATTGAATGTAATAAAACTGAAACTAATATTGAACTTAATAAATCTGAAGAAATGAAATTAGATGACAATCAAGTGGTAGTAGGAAATGATACTTTACAGGAAGTTCATCATACTTCAGAGACAATGGAGGAAACATTACAGTCTTCGTCATCTGAAACAGCTATCTCTGAACTGGTAACAGAAGATAACAATGCGTCTCCTCAAAAATTAAGGGAGCTTGATCCTTTACTTTTGTCTGCAAACGACAGTCCTAGTGGTATGCAAACACGATGTGTCTGGTCCCCATTGGCTTCTCCATCTACCAGCATTTTAAAGAGAGGACTGAAAAGACCCCAAGAAGATGAGATCTCCTCACCTGTTAATAAGGTAGGAGGAATGAGGTTGAATATAAAGGAGTCTAATATTTGGTTGAAACTTTGGGCCATACTGTGTCATATGGTGAATGACAGATACTAGGATTATATGACCACTTCTTTATTTGTCATGAATGCTAGGGAAAGAGCAGGTAGAACAAAAGGTGCTAAATAAAGGAGATCAAAACTTTCAGGATGTTCCTTCATCTCACAACACTAAAGATCTTTATGCAGCTCTGTACATTGTTCACCTTTAGCAAAATTGGTAAGACCTCTTAGGGTCTTTTCTGTGCTGTGTACCATAACACATGAGGAACTCGGGTGACATTGATAATACAGGTTTAGCACTTAATGTTTTCTGGGACATAATGTCTCTTTTACTTAAGTTTTTATATAGATCTTTAGATGATGATTTAGAAAGTTCCTTGGACTTCCTTTATCAATTTTATGAATCCCCACCCCTACTCCTGGAGTGGTAGGGATTGAGTCCAGGGTTTCACACATGATAAGCATGTGCTCTATCACAGAGCTACACCCACAGATCCTCTCTCATTATTTTCTTATTTATATTGCCATCTCCTGCACTAAGCCATACCATGTTTGGTTCAGAAAAAAAATTGGATTCTGGGTGTCTAGATTATACCCTTTTCTTTCACAGTTTATTGAATGAATGAATTTTAAGAAAGAGGAAGTGAGGTGTGCCTACATAGACCAATTTCCTCTATGTAACTAAGTAGATGTTCTGAAAAGGTTCTGCAACTTAATTTGAAATTGAATCTGCTATTGTCAGATGTACTTGTAGATATGTGAATGTATACCAAAAAAGATACTTTGATTTTTTTCCCCCCCTTCAGCAAGCACTTTTTGGGGGGGGGGGGTGATGTGCATGCTCGCACCCACTTGCTTAGAGATTTGAACCCAGGACTTCATACATGCCAGGCAAGCACTTTACCAGTGAGTCACATAGCCAGCCCAAGCAAGCACATTTTAAAAACTTTCCTCCTTAATCTCTATGAGTAGTTTTCATCCTTCCAAAATATATTGAAAATTTTGCTGAGAATTGAGAGATTGATCCATTTAAGAAAACTTAACAGCTGTTGAGATTTTTTTTCCCCTCTTTAGATGCTAAGGCTATTACTTAGTTTTTGTTTCTTTTTAATATCTTAAGTTTAATAGGCCATTGACATTCTTGAAAACTTTGTGAAGATAAAATGCATTGGAAATAACATGTCAATGTTCTTTAAATTGCCTATACAACTTAATAGTTTCTTTTCTTTTCCTTCCCACTCCTTGCATAATTAGGGAGGGAGATAGGGTCTCTGTAAGTTGCCAAGGCTGACCTTGAGCTTGAATTCTTTGCCCAGCTTTCTGTGTTGCTGGGATTATAGGCATGTGCCATCATACTCAGTCATGGCTTAAGTAGTTGTGGTTTTGATAAAGTTTATATTTAATACTTATTTAGGCAACAAAGATAGTGCTTGCATATATGTACATATGTGTGTGTATTTTTTTTCTTTTTGCAGTTCTAGGAATTGAATCAGACCTCATTCAGGCTAGGCAAGTGCTTATGCACTGATCCAAACCTCTAACACAACATGCTGTATTTTCTGTGACAGATTTATAGAACTTGCATCTTGTTTTCTTGGAAATCAAGAATAGAAAACATGTAATAATATCTTAATGGTTATCAGAGTTCTCTATTGTATACTTATCAATAAGTTTAATATATTATTTATATAATGTATAATTTATATATAGAAGAGACTGAGTTTTCCTCAAGCTGGCCTAAGGTTAAGATTGCTACCTAATTGAAATTATAGTAGTGGTTAACAATATGCACCAAAAGTCCATTATGTATTTTATTTCCTCTTTACCTTTTTTCCTCCAGTCTGTTTATGAAGTTATTAGAATCATATTGTATAGTTTCATTGTCACCAAATTCATTGTTTCTATTACTATCCTAGTTTCACAACCAAAACTATGCAGCTTTAGAACATAGATAATTAGAATCCATTTTGCTATTTGTCTGTAAAAGTAGTCACTAAGATGAACAGTTATATGCTGTAGACTTCCAAACCTACATGCTACTTTTGGATAACCTCTTGATGAGAATTTATGGTGTCATCTTTAAAGACTTTAAAGACTAAAGACTTTAGTTTTGTTAAATATTAAAGTCTGACCTGTGTTTTCAGGTTCGACGTGTCTCATTTGCAGATCCAATATACCAGGCAGGATTGGCAGATGACATTGATAGGCGATGTTCCATTGTTAGGTCCCATTCTTCAAGTAGTTCTCCCATAATGAAAAATGTTAAAACATCACCTACTGCACAATCTAAGGTAAGCAACAGGTGTTACAGTATGCACATATCTATATGTGCTTAGAATTATATGTGTATAGTTTGTTTTAAGATTATTTATGAAATAGAACTTTGTTGGTTTGGTTCTTTGTGTGCTTCATGGTAAGTAGACCTGAAAAGGTAGTAAGAGGCAATGATCATTCAGCAAGTAATTGATTAACTAGCAGTTCATTTTCTTTTCTGTTTCTGATATTTTAAAACAGTGATTACAGTCTAAGATTAAGATTAAAATTGTAGTTGTCTAGGGTCTAAGTGAGTCTTTTTTTTCTCTCCTTTTGTCTAGCATAATACCACTTCAGCTAAAGGATTTCTGTCCCCAGGATCACGTAGCTCTAAATTTAAGAGCTCAAAGAAGTGTTTAGTAAGAAGTGCTTTAGTTTTCATGTAACTTTTTATATTTTTGTTTTTAATCAAGTGATCTCTATTTAATAGCTTTTGAAATTTATTTTAAGATAACAGAAATGGCCAAAGAATCCATTCCTTGCCCAACAGAAAGTGTTTACCCAGCTTTGGTGAACTGTGCAGCACCAGTTGACATTATTTTGCCTCAGATAACATCAAATATGTGGTAAGTGGTTACTTAGGCTTTTTAAAAAATATATATATATTCCAAGATGCCACTTTAGTAACAGGAATATTTGAATGGTAAAGGTTCTCCTAGTTAGAATTTATTAGCATGTATCCCTTTCATATATTTTATTTCAGGAATAAATAAAAATGTAGATTGAATGATAGTCTGTAGGGCAATAATAAAAGCATTTATGCTAATAAAATTAATGTTTGTGAATAATTTGTTAAGATATTGTGTAGAAACTTTTTATATACATTATCTTAATTTACCGTTACTACCAATTCCTTAAGGAATATATACTATTTTGTGGTACTTGGGGCCAAACCCAGGGGTGCTGTAATACCGAGCTACACCCCAGCACCTTTTTTTTTTTTTTAAGAGAGAGAGGTTTTTTAATATTAATTTTTTAGTTTTTTTTCCGGCAGACACAACATCTTTGTATGTAATGCTGAGGATCCAACCCAGGCTGCACGCATGCCAGGCAAGCGCGCTACTGCTTGTGCCACATCCCCAGCCCTTACCCCAGCACTTTTAAAGTTTTATTGTGAAACAGGGTCTTTCTAAGCTGCGCAAGAAGGCCTCAAACTTGGCAATCCTCTTGCCTTAGCTTCCTCAGTAGCTGAGGTTAGAGGTATGTTCCACTGCTCTTGGTGTATGAATATCATTTCTGTTTTATAAAATAAGATTTACAAAGATTAATCCACTAAGATTGCCCTGATAATAAGTCATTATGTGAAGCTTCAGGTTCACATAGAAAACCTTGATTTTGGGGGCTGGGGTCATAGCTCATTGGTAGAGTGCTTGCACAGCATGTGTGAGGCCCTGGGTTTGATTCTCAGCACCACATATAAAAAAAATAAAGGTGATTGACAACTAAAAAAAAAAAATCAAAAAGAAAGAAAGAGGGGCTGAGGATATGGCTCAAGCGGTAGTGCCGCTCACCTGGCATGCGTGCACCCCGGGTTTGATCCTCAGCACCATATACAAACAAAGATGTTGTGTCCACCGAAAACTAAGAAATAAAATATTAAAAAATTCTCTCTCTCTCTTTAAAATAAATAAATAAATAAATAAAAATAAAAAACTTTAAAAAAAAAAAAAAGAAAACCTATATTTTTGGCGGGTATTTTCTTAAAAAAAATTAACCTAAGAGTTTTTAATTAAAATTTTCCTGATTGTTAGTCTTGGAAACTTAAATTATTTTTGATTAGAAAATTCTAGATTACTGTATTTTAAGATAGTTGGTAAGATCTTTTGATAATTTCTCTTTTGCCCTATCATTTGACAATAGGACATGAGGTATTCCTAAACTCCTCCAAGGACAAATACTGAGTCCATTTCTGATTATAGAAGTTGGAGAGAGGGCACATTAAAACAAAGGGAGTAACTTAAAGTCAGTTATGGTTGAGTTTAAATGGAGAAATTAAACCGAATAAGCCCTTACTAGTAGTATATACAGACAATTGATTCTCCTTTTTCTCTCATCTTTTCAGGGCAAGAGGCCTAGGACAACTTATCAGAGCCAAGAATATAAAAACAATTGGCGATCTGAGTTCTCTTACAGCATCTGAAATAAAAACTCTTCCTATCCGGTCTCCCAAAGTTTCTAATGTAAAAAAGGCTCTTAGAGTGTATCATGAACAGCAGGTAAAAACTCAGGTGGTACTTAAAACTATATATTAATCAGTGACCCAATAGCATAGTTGTAGAAGTTTATATTTAAACTCCTGTTGCTTAAAATCCCGTTTTATGGTCCCTTTATCCCCTCTAAAGACAAGGTCTTGCTGAATTGCTTTAGGACCTCACTGAATTGCTTTAGGACCTCACTGAGATGCTGAGGCTGGCTTTGAACTCGTCATCCTCCTGCCTCAGCCTCCCAAGCTGCTGGGATTACATGGGTGCACCACTGTGCCAGGCTATACTGTTTTTATTTAATGCACCTCAGATTTCTTTTAAAATTATCTTTTCTGCTTTGAATTCTGTCCTCGTATCCCTTTATGATTTTTACCAGATGATGATGGATTTCATTGCTGCTTTTCTAAAGCCTAGATACTGAAATCTAAACATTTATGGAAAGCTTTACAACTTTCTAGGTCATAAAACTTTTGATTTTTATGTCTAACACATTTTTACTTATTTGTGTTTTTCCTTCCAGCATTTTACACGTGTACACACATACGTGTGTATATATACACACAATATACATACATACAGAGTCAAGGACAATTTTCATATTTCTGATGAAAACTGATTCTTTCCCCCAATAAAGACTTATACAGAAAATTTTGTGTATAATTTCAGGGTTCACAGAATTGGTTGAAACTTAAACTTTCTGTTAATGTTACTAGACACTGCAAATAAATGATATACTAAAGGTGAAAATATGAAGACTTCTGCTCTTAAGTCCTTGATTTTTTTAAAATTGTGATGTTTAAAATATCTTTTGACTTGTGACTTAAAAACAAAACCAGAAAGTTGTAATTTTCAATCTAATAGATTGAATTTTTGAAATTCACTTACCATAGCAATCTACTATGTGATTTTTTTCCCTCTTTTTTTTTTTTAACTATGTTCGTAGTTACACCTCTATCCTCATAAACTAATTTTCGAACATTTTTGTTGGTGGTTTTAAACCCACCCTGTAAGAAAAAAATCCTGAATTTCTTAGTTGTCACTTTTATCCCTTGTCTGTAGATAACCACTTATTTACTTTGGACATTTTTGTGAGGCTACCACCTTTATTTCCTAACTTATTTCACTTACCATATCATTTCCAGGTTTCTTTGCTATAGAATATGCCAAAATTTCCTTCCCTTTTCAAGGCAAGATAATGATCCATAGTATAGATATACCACATTGTTTAGCCTTTCCTCTGTTGATGGACATTTGGGGTTGTTTTCACCTTTTACTATTATGAACAGTGCTTCTGGGTACATTCATAAAATTTTTGTATGGGCTTTGTTTTCATTTCTGTTGGAGATATATATAAAAATTTGGAATTGCTAAGTTATAAGGTAACTCTTTTTGAAAGTAGAATTTTTTTTTTAAAAGTTAATGTATGATTGACTGTGGACCATAATGTTCCATATAATGTATTTTTCCCAATATTTGTACCATTATTGCTATGAAAAGTAACTTCTGATTTTTGTTTTTTACTGCTCTGTATAATCAAGGTAAAATCTCGTGGATTAGAAGAGATTCCAATTTTTGATATTACTGAAAAAGCAGTAAATGGAATAGAAAATAAGTCTCTCTCAACTGATGAAGAACGACTTGCCTCAGGTATATGTTAGCATAGTGTGACGATTTTATATAGAAGACAAGCTGATTTTCTTGAATAAATATTTTGTTATGCTTTTAGTTTTAATTTAATTATGCCTTATTCAACAAGTTTTTTGTTTTTTATTTTTTTCCTTGATGCCAAGTACATGAAAAACTTCTTTGATTTCAGGTATTTTTTTCTTAATTGTCAACATTTAGTCCTTAAGATCTCCAGTAAGAATATAGAATATATATTCTGTTAACAGTTATGATAATAAAATGAAGTCTTTTCTTTACTAGCACAGAATAATATGTCGTAGATTTTTGTGTCGGTCTTATTCCTTTGAGAAGAGGGACCCCTCATTCTACTTTCTCAAATTGAATCCTACAAACTTATTATATTTGATAGGGAATATGTACATGCACACATACATTTAATTTTTTAACTGGTATACATTTAATGTGTTCTTTTTTCTGTTTCTTTTAGATTTACTTGATCCTGTTCCCTTTGAAACTCCATTATCTAAAAATCTTGTTGCACAGATTAGTGCTCTTGCTCTTCAACTGGATGCAGAAGATCTCCACAGTTATTCAGGAAGCCAGCTATTTGAAATGCATGAGAAACTTGGTACTATGGCAAACTCTATAATAAAAAATCTACAGTCACGATGGAGATCAACAGCCCATGAAAATTCCATTTAGTGTTTTAAGAGAAATTGAATTTTTTAAAACATCCCCAGATTACTTGATTGGTATATTTCAGACTTGTTTTATCAATCAGTTTAAAAGGGGAGACCTCAAGGTTGATAACATTTCAAACCTGTGAAGGGCAGTGACTTAATAAGTTCAGTTTTGTAAGATCATTAAGTAAGATCTTTTTTCCCCATTGTTTCTTGGCTGCTATAGTTTTTCAAGAAATGTTAAATACCTTATTTAGATTTGAAAGCAAAAGCAGAAACAAGCATTCATTTTATTTCATATTTTTGAACTCCATGCATATTTTGGTTAAACATGTAATGCAAAATACTTCAATGTTGAAAATTTTTATTTGATTTTTGCTAAACTGATAAAGGCATTTTAGTTTGTTTGTTTGTTTAATTGTTCATATATATATTGTGCCTGAGGTACAGGAAATTTGTTTTTTGTAAAGGCCTCAAATGGGATGTAAAAAAACTGGGACTTTTTCCCCACAGATGTCACCTTTGGACAATTTCGGGAAAAATACCAAAAGTTTTAATTTCTTGAGGTAGAAATATTATTGTAGAATTTCTCAGATTCCCTTCATTTGCATTAGCAAGTATTTGTGCAGCTTCCTGTGAAAATTTATTAGACATAGTATTCCTTTCTAAATGCATGACTGTTTGTACATTATTTGTAGATGACTTTAATTTATAAATTTCAGCCTTCATTAATTGCATGAATTTTTCTGCAGCTTCTTGTGAATACCTTGGTTTTCCTTACTAGAAACATTTTGTATGTATTTAATATTGAAATATCTGTGTGGACAGAAGAAGTGCTTCATGTGCTTGCTGCAGATATTTGTAGACTTATGTATCTGCATATAAAACAACAATTAGTTTTATATTTAATTAATAGTTAAAACATGAGCTCAGCCAGGCCCAATGGCACACACCTGTAATCCCAATGACTTCAGAGGCTTAGACAGAAGGGTTACAAGTTTAAAGTCAGCCTGGCCAACTTAGTGAGACCCTGTCTCAAAATAATACAATAAAGAATGGCTGGGGGTGCAGCTCAGTGGTAGAGGGCTTGCCTAGCATGCACAGGTACTGGGTTCAATCCCCAGTACCACTTTTTTAAAAAAATATATATATTTTCTAAAGTATTCTAAATGAGAAAATGTTACACGATAGCTTTGAAATTCATGCCCTTAGCTTTTTTTTTTTTTTTTTCTTTTTTCTTTTGGTTTGGAAGTGAATACCAGCCACTAGAAAGCGTGCCTCATTACATTTCTTCTTAATGGAGAGTTAGAATGAATATTTTCATTGCAAGTTGGACTATAAGAAGTCTAGAGATTATCTGCTTTATTCATCTTTAACTAAAATTAAACTTGGAAGAAATTTGAAACTGTTTTTATACGTGTATCTTTTGCCTATTTTTTATAAAGGGGGTGTGTATAATTATTTGTAAATTTTTACCAACTAGTGTTAGCACCTGACTTCCCATATTTGTTTTGTCTTTTAATTGAGCATGTACCTCACTTACTCTCAATATATCAGTGAGTTTCACACTTGATTCAGAACCTAATCCCTACTTGAAAAGGCATGTTTCTGCAGTAAGTCATAGAAAGTTTAATTCTTGCATCTAATTTACGTAAGGTCTCCTTTTTTCAACAGGGAACTTCATCCAACTTCTATGAAAGTTTTTTTTTCTATAATCATAAATATAGATATTTTTGGATCTAAATATGATATATACACCAGCGATGGTTTTACAAAGAAATTCTTTTGATTTTTGAACTAAGGTTTGTAGCTTAGAGAAAACTAAGGGAAAAAAATACATGAGTTTTTAGTGAAAAGTGGTGAATAAAAAGGTGTGTGTGTATGTTTGGGGTAAGTGTTAACAGTAGACATAGACATGAGTCAAAATTAGCTCATTTTATGACTGCATATCTTAACATTTGAATGAACTAAATTAATTTGTTGGTGGAATGAAGTCCTTAGGAAGCTGAATAGTAAAGCAGAAAATATAACCAAAATGATTACCATTTATTAAATTATTGGATTTGATAGAAGCACAGGTATTAGTTAAAACAAATTATGGTTCAGTGATATGTTTAAAAATACTATTTTGAGGGAAAAGGCCAGCTTGTTATGTATCTTTTTTCTTGGTATGGTTATAAGCATACATTTTAATCACCTTTCAGTATTCTTGCCTGAAAACTTTCTGCTGATTTTCCCCGAATGATTCCTGAAATTGCCCAAAAGAAAGAAAGAAAAAGAAAAAAATTTTTGATCAGCTCTGATGTTTTGTTCCATTATTAAAATGAAGTTTGTTTTTCATCTCTTTTCTAATGTTTAAATAAAACAATGGCAGATATTGATAACACTCAAATGTGGTTTCTTAATTTTTTATGGTTTTAAGGATGAATTTAGTGGCAATTAGAATTATAGTATAATTTTTTTCATAAATGTTAAATCTGTTTGGTGAAAATTCAAGTGGTACTATGGAATCCATTCATTTTGAGTCCATTGCTAAAAGTTCTTTGCTGTTTCAATAGGTTTGAAAACCGTTGATAAGGTGGGACTGTAGCTCAGTGGTAAAGGACTTCCCTAGTGTGCCTGAGGCCCTGGGTTCAATCCTAGCCCAGTAAAAACAAAATGCTAAAGAATGTGAAGCTCTATTATTAATTCTAAACAATGTAGGTTAAATCAAAGTTAATGCTTCATCAGTAATACAGTCAAAAATATGATTGAAATTTTAACTTCAAAAGTTTAATAATTCTAACATTGCCCATTGTTCATTCTTCCTGTAGAGTTTGAAGGTGGTCAGATTCTGTTACATGTTTAAGCATTGTAAAAACGTGAATAAGTGGGAAAATCAGAACTGGGTAAAATAGTACAAATCTGAATATGTAAGTGAGGCCGTGTTTTTTGTTGTTATTTCTTTAGGTAAAGGAATAAGAATAATTTTTAAAAAGTGCTGTTTTTAATGCTTTCTTACAGAGTTAAAATTTTCTCCTAAAGCCATTCCTTGCAACATTGACTTCATCTTACTCTTCATAACTGATTTGCAGAGGTAGTTTGTTAGCTAAGCTAGGAGGTTGTAAAACAGCAGTTATTGGCATTATTAGGGTTAGACTTGTATGGTGGCATGCAGTTCTGGGTTGTAGTTTATTTGCTTGTTACCACAGCCCATGTCCATTTGAAAACTCTTATTCTCTCTGTATACAAACATTAGACTGAAGTTTTGATTTTAAACAGTGCTTCTCAATCTAGGAGGTGTGTGTAAAAATGTGGATTCAAATTCTGAAGGTCTTGAGATGGGGCCTGAGAGTCTGCATTTCTATCAGACTTCTAGGGGATTCATATAGGTATTAATATCAATGGACTGTTCTAACAGTAGATGGGTGTGTGTGTATGTGCTCAATTAAAAGACAAAACAAATATGGGAAGTCAGGTGCTAACACTAGTTGGTCATATAAGTCTAAGAGGTTTTAGACTGTCCAGAAGATTTTGCTAACCCAAGCAGATTTAAGTCCTTAGGAGTATTGCCACAAAACATAAAAGCTAGACCTTCATAACTTTTCCAAGTCTATAAATTGAGGATGCAGACTACAAATTAAATTGTGATTTTTTTTTTTTTTTTAAAGAAAGTTAAGGGTAGAATTTTTCCTCTTCGGGAGTCTTTTTAAAAATATGAATTATTTTTAAAAATAAATTCACAAAAGACTTAAAGATTTATCTTTATAGAATCTTCTTAGGTATAAGATTAGACACAGTGCTTTCTCAAGTGGCTTATGTTCTCATTTTGGGAGTGTTAATATTAATGTAGATTTTCAAATACTAGAAATACATTCACTCCCTAAGCCTTGCTGTGTGTATTATGACTCTTCATTATTAATAAGCCTTGAAGACAGACACTATGCCTAAGACTCATTTAGTAATTAAGTTAGTAATTCTATGACGAAGTCATATTTGACAGCCAGACCTTGTCATTTTTCTGAGTATCTCTGGTGACTTAATTTGCTGGGAGATTTTGTGGTTGGGAATTCCTATTTCATTATAATGTGAAGTTTGAAAGATAAGAGTTGAACAGTTTGATCCTCTAAAAGTGACTTTCTTAGAATTCTGTTTAGGTAACAGATTTTTTTTACAGATTTAAATTACCTGTGTGTAAGAACTTACTTCATTCAGTGTGCTTCAGAAAATGCAGACAAAAGTTAAGTAATGGGTATCTTTAATTGGTTTATCAAGATTTATTGATTGCTTTTTTTCGGGGGGTTGATGGCTGAGTTAATGGTAGGTCTGTTAATGTGCCTGACTTTACATTTTGCCTTTTGGATGTATTCATTAAAATCTGAGTTCTTCAGGTTTGAGGGTGTGTAGATATTAGTCTTGCAGAATTATAAAATTTCATTCAGTCATTCAATGTTTGGAACATATGTTGAATTATATAATAGGATCTTAACCATTTTCTCCTTTATACAGTAAGCTTTGTTCTCTTCAAATAGCACTTAAAGTCCAGACATGATGGGCTAAGCTGTTAAACCCCTGGGGAAAACAAATACTATAAGGATAAAAGACAACCGCTTCACTTCACTGAGACTGTAAATTTCTTGTGTGTGTATGTGTGTGCGTGCAGATTTTTTGAAGGCAATATTTTTTTTAATATATTTTTTGTTTTCGTTTTAGTTGGACACAATGTCTTTTTTTTTTTTTAATGTGATGCTGAGGATCAAACCCAGTACCCCATGTGTGCTAGGTGAGCACTCTACCACTTGAGCCACAACCCCAGCCCTTTGAAGGCAGTATTTTTAATTGTTTATACCAAAAAGAAGAAAAAGGCCTGTGTAAACTTATTCTCTTCCTATAGCAGGAAGCGCTTGCCTAGCACACATGAGGCCCTGGTTGTGATTCCCCAGTGTCACACACGTGAATTTGAAGAAGAGTATCATGAGCTGAAAATAGAATGTAGTGTAGTAACTTTTTATACATAATTGAGTAAAAGTTTCTGAGGCATCTTATTTTTATAGAATATTTTTCTAAGAGAAAATGGAATTAAGAGAATTGGTTACAAATACAGAAACTGAAGGATGGCAGTCTTTATACTAAGTTTTTATAGAGCAGGAATTAGCAGACTACAAGCTGCCACCTATGTTTTGGACTGCCATTGAGCTACAACTGGTTGTTACAATTTTTTTGTTTGATTGGAAGTCGTTGAAAGAATATTTTGAAAATGTAATTTTAGTGTTATAAAGTTTATTGAAACACAGTCATGCTTACTAATGTACTGTCTTCCTATAAAATGGTAGAATTGAGTAGTCTGTCAGACCTATGTCTCCTAAAATCACTGGCCCTTTGTCATTCTATGTTATGGAGGATAATTTTGTTTGTATGTGGTATGTGATCAGTTTGGTTATTTGTATCCTCGCTTACATTTTGGGGTCTGGACTCCTCTGTTTCACACATTAGGTTTCATTTACAAAGTGGATTCCCCTGATACAATTTTGTCTTTGAGTTACTCAAAATCACATTTACAAAGAGGTACCAGTGCTTTTTAAAGAATTACCCACTTTTTTTTTCTTTTTGCAGTGTGGGGAATTGAACCCCGGGCCTTACCCATGCTAGGCAGGTGCTCTACCACTGAACCAAATCCCTAGCCCATGTTTTCCTCAGACGTTAAAAGTATAGTGAGATGTTTGCCATAGTATTCAGGGATTTTGGTGTCTGAGGGAAACAGAACCTGGCACTGATACATTAAACCACACCTGTGAAATAAATTATGGCACAGGACTTTGCTTTCTGTGTTGGTGAATTGATTTATTTCAGTCTATTTTAATACTACCTCCTCGGATATCCCTTTTATGCATTTAGATTGATATGAACGAATTCAGTCCTTTATTAACGCTATTTTTGTCACTGTCAGTAAACTCTTGAGTGTTTACATAAGCATTTCAGATTTAATAGGAGTACTTGTTAATTCCTTCATTAATTGCACTAGTAGATGAAAAATAGAGTGCAGCCAGATTTGATTATGTAATGCTCATAAAATGTTCAAAGCAGCTAGATCTAAACTTACAAAGTAAGTGTTTCTGCTTGATATGACTGTATTGAGGGAGGGAGAATTTATTTGATCCACAATAAAACCTTTCGTGAATCATTGAGAGTTAATTGATGTTATTTGCCAAATGAAACTGGTTATTGAAACATTTTAAGAAATGCACTTTCTCATAAAATAAACCTATAACAACTAAATTCTCGTGTTCCCTTTTGTTTGCTGGGTGGATGGGGGCTTGCTGGCTGAGCCAAAATGAGTAAGAGGCATGCATGAACCATTTATTTTCGTCCTTTTAGGACTTGTTATTTAGAGGATTTTAAAGAGGTTTTCTGATTTATTCATAATTTTATGGGTTCCATAGACTTCTGAATCCATAGCTTTAAATAAAATGTGACCAACTAATACTGAAAGAACCTGCTTTTAGTTTACTAAGGCTGTTGTAAAGTATACTACAATCCAAGTGACTAGGTGTTTGAAGTCTGAGAAACAAAAGAGACAAAAGTACCCTGTTGATAAGGATTGTGAGAAAGACTTTGTGCCAGTTCCTGGGTTTTGGGTGGTTTTCTGGCGGTTTGGGGGGGCATTTCTGGTATTTAGTATTGCTTCAGTCTCTGCCTTCATCTTCATGTAGCTTTCTTATGTGCATATATGTACAAATTTACTCCTTGGTTTTTTTAATTAGAATATTTATAAAATAGGTCAATTTTAATAAATTCCTCTACGTACAGTGTACACATTTATTAACTGAAAATTAAAATAACACATTGAAATTTCTTTTCATTGCAACCCAAAATTTTTGAAAACTAGAAAATCTTATAATGATACTCTAACCAAGACTACCCAGTATTCTCTTTACATCTCTTCTAGTTCCCGAGTTTTATTTCAGGCTTAGTAAACTTATAGGAAGGCTTTACATCTATTGTTACTTTGAATCAAATAGAAAAGTAGAACTTAAGTATATTGAAATCATTTATATACACTGTAACTGCAGATTGATTATAAATCATTGGCATCAAGGTGTGAAGAGATCCCCAGCACCAAAAAGAGCAAAAGAAAAAGGTACTTAAGGTACTCAAAATCATTGGTTGTCTTAAAGTAATATGCATAAATTGCCATCATGAAGAACAATGTACAATTTATGCCTAAATTGACTATCAGGCTCATTCTCAGAAGGATCTCATTCATGATATAAGAAATAACTGCAGGTATATTTGATGTTACACTGATTCACTTAAGAACTTCTTTAAAACCAATGTCTCTTTGTTCCCTTTGAAGCCTGGAATATCTTTATAGGTGATATCTTGATTTTGCCACATGTTCATTCTGTGCAGATAACAATATCCAGTCTCCACCTGTAGGGAAAGTGCCTCTGTGGTAGTTATCTTTGTACTAGTAACTGCACATTGAATATCTGGTTACTTGCTTCATAAAGCAAGTAGGAAAATGAAAACCACCCATTGTGCTGATGGTACAGTGTGTTCGCAAAGTTTGGAAGTATGTGCATGATGGAATTGTTGCCTGCCTTAACGTTTTCACTCAGTTTAGGTGAAGATGAAGACTTTGGAGTGAGAATGATTACCTTTCCCATCATTAGGATGCTACAATTTGGATTTGGAATGGTCCTCCAAAGGCCCATGTTTTCAAGGTTTCATCCCTGTGGTGCTCTTAAGAGGTGGTGGAACATGTAGGAGAAGGTCCTAGATACAAGGACAGATCTTTAGCTTTTTAGGAAGGATAGTCCTTTGGGGGTGTTCCCTCAATTGGGATTGTGGTACCCTGGTCTCTTCCTTTCTTTTATTCCCAGCTACGATATGAACAGACTTCCACTCCCAGTCATTCTTGTTACCATATACTGGATATACTCTTGCCATGGGCTGAAAGATGATAGGACCAACTAGCCATGGATTGAAACCTCCAAAACTGTGAGCTAAAATAAACCTTTGCTTTTTTTTTTTTTTTTTAAGGTTGATTACCTCAGGAATTTTGTTACAGTAGTGGAAAGCTAATAGGTCTGTTTTGTTAGGGTTATAAATTCTGTGAGGACACCAACTTTCATTCATCAAAGCATTAGGCCATTCATTGTTTGTTCATCTTTCCACCCTTTGTCCTATGCTGTTGACCCAGTAGATACAGATGGGATCTCCTAAGGTTAGGATTGGCTCTCACAGATTTTTCTTTAAGAAAAAGAGCTTTATTGGGAAGGGGAAAATGATCACTTGCTAACTTGAATAGCTAGATTGTACAAGAAAGGACCTGAAAAGTCCCTGATGTCCTCCAAGACTTGGACCTCATTTAAGTGCACCTTGTTCTTTCTCAGACCTAGAAAAAAAATTAGCAAACTATGTTTCAAACAAGGGATAATTTTTCCCTTTTCCATGTACAGAAATACTGATGATTCCTTAGTTCTTTCTGGAACAAATTTTGCTCTTCTCTCACAGCCAGCCCTAGTGGATTCACCTTTACCAATTCTGGGACCAGAAAGGAAGTAAGACGTGAATGTTTCTTCATTGGGAATCCTATAGCTACATCTATTTCTTCAAGGAAGTTTGCTGAACACATTATGTACAGTATTGAGAATGACTACTCTTATGCATTTTAATAGTACATTGAAGCCATTAAAAATAAAGTTTATTCCATCAGCAGAGTGTTGCAGAAAACAATTTTATTAGTTACCAGTTTATCACCAGTTTATATTCACTACCAGATTTATAATTTTAGAAATGGGTTAGGAACACAAGCATTAGCATTTAAAAGCAAGGAAGGGAAATATGAATATCTGCCATTTTTCCTTTAGTGTATTTGTCATGTTCAGAGTGCCTTTTTTTAAAAAAAACTTGTAGTTGGACACAATACTTTTATTTATTTTTATGTGGCGCTGAGAATGAAACCCAGCACCTCGCATGTGCTAGGCAATTGCTCTCCTACTGAGTTACCCCAGCCCCAGAATGCCTCTTTTTAAGAAATAATGTTCTCTTTTTTTATAATTGGGAAAGACTCTGGGTTGACACAGTAATAACATAACACAGCAGGAGTTTTTAAAATGTCTATTCTGAAATTCAACTGATTTTAAATCCCAAAAGAAATTTGATAATGGCATTGTTTAATATAAAGAACTTAACAGACTTAATGTTGTCTGAAGTTTTATGTGCAGGTCCAGAAAATAATGAAAATGTAAGTCTAGTTTAAAAACTGGACAGATTAACATGAATATTTGGTTTAATGGAGAATTATTGGAGTTCATATACAAATAAATTATATTGAGATGTTACTGCCACAAATGACATTGGCAAAAAAACATTAACTTGAGAAGCAATAGTGTTGAGTCTAAACTAGAACACTGCAGGAGTTGTAGGTCTTACAGATGTGAGTTTTTGAAGTGCCTAAATAGCTTCAACGTAGTTGGCTGGGAGCATGCCGGTTCTTCCAGTTCTTTGTACAGTGCCATACATCCATCCTTCATCAATAGCTTGAACATTTACAATAGCATCTCCATCTTTGAAGGACACCTCATCTGCATCTGCAGCCATATAGTCGTACATGGCACGGAAGATTTTCTATTTATGGGGATAGAAATGGAAAATTCTATGGGATTTGTAATAACCAATATCTAATTTTAAAATCTGACTTATTTTACAAATTTGAATTTCTAAAAAATGTGCAACTATCACCAAGAAAGTAGTGACTCAGGAAATAAAAGAAATAGTTGTGAATCATATCTGATAAGGGATTAACATCTGGAATGTATAAAGAACTCATACAACTCAACATGATGTATATAATAGACATTTCTCCTATCAGATATACAGATAGCTAAAAAGCACATGAAAAGATGTTCAGTGTCATCAGGGAAATGCATATTAAAACTACAAAATACTGCTTCACACAGAATGGTGATAATCATCAACAAAACAATAGGTTTTAGAGAAATGGGATAGAAATTTTGAACCCTCATTAACTCCTGGTGGGGATGTAAAATGGTGTGGCCATTTTGGAAAATGGTTTGGCAGTTATCATGTGACCCACCAAATCTACTCCTATATAACCAAGAGGAATGAAAACTTTGTGTGGTAACTTGCAGAACCATGTTCATAGCAATATTATTCCTAATAGCCCCAAAGAGGCAACAGCCCAAATGCCCACCAACTGATAAATGAATAATCAAAATGAGATATATCCATACAGTGGAATGAAGTACTGATACATGACGCAATATGATGGACCTCAAAGCATTAAGAAGCAGCTATATACTAAATCTACATATCCCATGATTTTGTATGAAATATCCCAAATAGAGAAAGTAGTTTAGTAGTAGATGACTAGAATTGGAAGGGAGACTCTGGGAATGGGGAGTAAATGCTGATGGGAATAAGTTGCTTTTCCTTGTAATGTTGATGAAATATTCTAAGATTAAGCTAATAGTAGAACAACTTTGTAAATTAAATATGAATGTCAGTGAATTATATACTTCAAATTATGAACTTCATTCTGTGTTCATTATATATCCATAAAACTGTATGCCCACAGAGAAAAGAGAATATGCTTATTTTATATGTAAATTTGGCTTTTTTGTGTGCGTGCATTCCTGGGGATTGAACCCAGGGCTCTTGCACATGCTAGGCAAGAACTGAGCTATATCCTCAGCCACAACCCCCACTCTTATTTTTGAGGTAGGGCCTTACTAAATTGCACAGGCTGACCTGGAATTTGCAATCTTCTGCTTCAGCATTTTGAGTGACTAGGATTATAGATATGTGCCACTACACCCAGCCTTTGTCTGCCTTTTGAGGAGTTAGGCTATGTTTCAGAAAAAAACTTGAAATGCTATAGCAATATTGCTTATGTGAAAGTTGTCAGAATTAAAATACAGTTGTTTTTGTCAAGCCTTACCCAAAAAAAGAAAGCCAGAAGATTATGAAGGAATCTTAATGCGCGATTGTCTGATAATTTTGTGTAATTATCACAAAAGAATGCTCCAGAACCACAGCCTGGATCATAGGCCATGGCAATTTTATACAGCAAATACTCCAATGTCATCTGCTCAGCAACAGTCTATTCAGTTTCAGACTGTCTCTACCCTTGTTAATCCTTGTAGCAAAGGATTATTGTTTTAAAAATATTTTCTGTAATCCTCATTTGCTTTTGAAAACTTCACCTTGCTTTCCTCACCCTCTCTGAATATACCCATAGTTTACTATAG